TATTTTCCTTTTACTTTCCTTTTCTTTTCTTTTCCCTTTTATTTTCTTTTACCTTTGTAATTATAAATACCCATTTTGGGGTAAAATTAGGAGAACAATTTTTAGATAAAAAATTAGACCACATATTTTTAGCTGAGTTGAGAGCTTCTCTATCTAGTTTTAGGGTTAGTTTTAGGAGTAGATTTTAGAGAGAGAAAGTGAGGAATTTCAATGGTTATTTTAGAGGTTGAAGATTTAAGATTACAATTGTATTAAAGATCTCCATTGTCAATCAATGAAGATTTCTCACTTTCTCTCCTCTTTATCGCTTTATTGAATTTCATGTTTGTTTGAATTGATTTTGATGTTTGATGCTTGATTAGTGTAGTTGTTCTTAATATATTGTGAATTCTTGATTTCTTTAGTTGTTTGTTGATAGATGATGATATTTGAGTAGTTGTTTTGCTAGGAATTGGGAAAAACTTGATGATTGATTAATTGTGGTTAATTTGGGAATTATATTGATTGATTGTTGAGATTAAAGTGATTAGTGAAGTTTGCATGTGTGTAATTTGATTAGGCCTTGAGAATTATGCTAGATTGCATTGTAATTGCTAATGACACGACCAATTGATTTAGGAATTGGAATTATTGATTGGTTTGGATTGTGATTCTCTTAGTTTGTTATTCATAGTGAACCCTAGTTTAACAATTAGGAGATAGCTCTTGATTCCAATTAGTTGCTCTTATCATTAGTCTTCACAACCTTTGATTGGCATGATCTTTCCAAGTTGTTGCAGTTGACATGATTACTTGTTGATCCCCGTTCCTAGTGTTTTATTTCCTTTGTTATTTTTTTGTTAGTTGTTAGTATTCTCTCTTACCTTCGATTTCGACCTAGCTTAGGCGCATAATTAAAAGTGCTTGAACATTACCGTTCCTTTGGTTTTGACCCTTGACTTGCCTCTATACTCGTATTTGGGTTTGTTAAGTGTTTATAAATTTAGTTTGATCGAGGGAAGATTAGATAACGACCTAGTTTTTCCCTCATCAAAATGGCGCCGTTGTCGGGGAACGGTGTCTATGTCTGAGTGTTTTTGATTGCTTGAGTCTAGATCTTTGTATATACTTTTCTTTTATTTGATTATTGTTTGTTTTATATAAAAATAGCATATCTCTCGTTTCCTCAATTTGACAATGAACCTTTTTGTGAATATTTCAATAGACTTGAGGAATTTTTGGACTATAATTGTTGTAATCTTTGGGAGGCTTGTGAGATTTTTTATTTTGGTTTGAATGAGCAAACTAGGGATGAAGTTGAATGCATGCATAATGGTGAATTTAGAGCATTGTCAATCGATGATGCTTGGGATGCTTATGTTTGGTTTGCTAGGGATGTTTATGATAGGGGTAATCATGAGTCTAATATTGATATGTAATGTCTTGATTCTTCTAATATTAGCATGAATATCCATGATATGTTACATGATCCCTTAAGTGAACCTAGAACAAATGATTTCAACTCTATTTCCCCTTTTGTTCATGATAATGAAGTACATGCTCAATCTGATGCTAATGGTGTGTTTCAATATTCATCATTATTTACCATGCCTTCTCGTGATGTGCTTTATTCCCTTAATGATGAATCTCATGTGTTTGATTGTGCCCCCACTCCCCAATATGATGTATATGCTCATGATCTTAATGTTGATTCTTCCAATCTTGGTTGTACTTCTTCTTCTCTTGTTGAGCCTCAACCTTCTACATCTTTTGAATCTCTTATTGATATATTTGAGTCTCAAATTAGGGGCATTGAGCTTGACAACAACCTTGGGCCTAGTAAGGAGATGATTCTTCAATCTATGAGAGGTCAATTAAAGATAATGAAAAAGAATGAGGAACGTCTTGAGGAGGGAAGGAGAAGAAAAGAAGAGTTAAAAAACCAATTGTCATCCTTGATGCTTGTTTGTGAAAAATCCCAATTTAATGAGTATGTTGAGGATGATGATGATGATTTTGAGCAACCAAGAGAGTGTGAGGATCACATTGGTGAGCATTTGAGTGATGATGAAGGAGTTGAGAATGAAGAGAGTATTGATTTTGAAAATCCTAACCCTCTTTCCCATCTTGATGAGTCTCAAGTGCATGATTGTGATCCTTTTATCCATGAGTATTTGGATTCATTTGAGGTTATGTCCAATGTGTTTATTAAGTGTCTAATGAAAACCCATAGCATTTTGAGTGAGTTTATAGAGAATGCTTCATGGGTGAGAGATGATTTTGAAATGAATTTACATCCATTCATTCATGGCTTTGAGACTTTAGGCTTTAAGGAAGTTGAGGGAGTTGTTTTTCATGATTGTAGTGAAGGGGATTATGTAGTTCCTCTTGGAAGTTGGATGTTTGAGGGAGATGATGATCATGGATGTTCTTATTTTGAGGATTCTATGATTGATTTTCATGCTCTTGTTGGTGATTTGAGGCAATGTTGGTGAGGAAGAGTTCATTTGTGAGACCATAGCCCCTATTCCCTCCTCTCATGTCCCTTTTTCAAGCAATTTCAACCACATCCCCTGAACTCCTATATCCCTCCCTTCCTTTGTTGATGACCCTATTGGGGACCCCCTTGTCTATGATTATTTTCATGTCCTTCATTTGTATTCTATTGAGGAAAAAGGTGATGTAGCCATCCAAAAATATTTTGCCTTCTTTGCGTGCACTATCCTTGTCATTTGCCTACCTCTTATCATATGAAATGTGTAGTAGTGCATTTGACAAGCTCTTGCGTGCGTTGAATTATTATTTTCTAGAGCGGTCAAGCTTGGAACTTAAGAAAGCCTTTCTCGGAAAGTAACCCGTGTTTTATTACTTTCATTTTCTTTTCTGTTTAGAATAGATTTTCTCTCATGGAAATGTTTGTGTGCCTTTTCCTAGGTACACGACTAGATAATATACTTTGGTACATTGGTTTGAATCAAGAATCAAGAAAGTTTGAGTCCTATTTTTGCTAGCATATGGAAGGCAAGGTTCAATTCTTGAGGAAATTAGCTTTGAAAGGTTTAATTGGGTCATTTCGGGTATTTACACCCACCTAATATCCGATTTTATCCTTCCTTGCTCTTTCTTAAGTGGATGATGACTTGTTAGACATATGTTGGTTTGATTGGATTGATATCAATGACTGCAGATCAAATTAAGAAAAAGCTGTGAGAGACTCACATTAACACCCCCTAATCAAACTAATATGTGCAACAAAACTTAACATACCAGCATGTTACTGTACGAATCATCGGCCTTCCTGTCTTGCAACACAGCATTTTTCACTTTGTCTTGGGTCCAGCCAGCCAGTCTTGGGTAGACACCCCATTTACCAGGAACACGCTTCAAATGATCCAAGTAGAGGACCTGTAACCAACAAAACAAAGAAGTGAACAGAACGAAGCTTAATAAATAAAAGATGAATCTCAGTTGAAATCAGATAACGACAACAGACCAGCAGAAACAGGATACAGCCACCACAACCAGCACGGTGTCAATTTTTTAAAAAAATTGATTGAAACCCTTTTACCGTGTCAAGAACCTAGTCAAATATGAAAGAACACCAATCATATTGCGCAGTTTCCCCACCAAGACTTAAGCAAGGAAGTAAAGCAGATGCAAGCTTCAATTCATTTGTTGTTGTGCATAATAAGTGACCAAGAGCAACTACTAGGAACGCGTCCCTGAATTTCTCCTTATCTTGTGCAGTGACCAGCTCTAGCACCTCACCCTCTTCATTATCTTTCTTAAAGGTCAGCAAAGCATCAGCTGCAGCAGTGACAAGGATACCATCACTTTTACTGTCGCCAAATTGAGCAGCAACCTGACGAACCTTACGCACCACTTCACTGTTACCGGCGTCGACAATCCTAGGAACAGGCTTACAACCCATAGGAATACTAAGTACACATTATATTTGTTCCGGACACAAGGCCAGAATCTGCCCATCGCCAAACGACATCGTCCCATCACCATAGACCCTCGTCAACAGCCAGTAACAAAACTAACGGGGTAAATGAGTCAACTTCAGATCAAGCAACCTTTCAAACCCCATAGTTTTCACAACCTCCCCTCTGGACTCCAACTTGCTGACCAATTTAGACAAAGCATCAACCTTACAAACCAAATGTGGTTGCTTTCTAGTCTTCTCCTAATGACTCCTCGTACTCCATACCACACCATCTTGGGTCAGGACATGCTCCCTTTAAATCAAGACATCCTACAAGTGCAAAATAGATTACGTTGCTAAAATTGGTATATCAAACCAAGACATAAAGAAGTTTGGCATTTAATGCACTAGTAGAAAAAATGCTATTTGTAACCGGCGAAATTGACTTTTTGTAACTGGCATTGTTGGTTGCAAATGCCACCGTTACAACTAGTGAAAATCATTCGTAACCGGCTAATGTTAGTTACAAATAATGTACTATTTGTAACTAGCTTAACCTAACGCCAGTTACAAAAAGTATATTTTCCAATTTAGAAAGCATACTATTCATAATTGGCATTAAGTTACATCGGTTACAATTAGGGCATTATTAGTAACTAGAAAATCTTAATGCCGGTTACGAATAGCATTGTATTTTATTTAAAAAAAATTAAAATGGCAGTAGTAGCAGATGCCCCTATTGTCATTACCTAGGGGTGTCAATTCGGGTCAGCAGGTCGGGTTCGGGTCAGATTTCGGGTCGATTTCGGGTTATGCTTAGAAACTATTAAAAATAGTGTAAAACTTAATATTATTACGAAATATGAAATTTGGGTCAAATCGGGTCGAATTCGGGTTGTTCGGGTTCAGTTCAGGTCGGGTTCGGGTCTCTCTCAATAACTTCGGGTCGGGTTCGGATCGGGTTTTCGTGTCGGGTCAGGGTTTGCCAGCCCTATCATTACCCCCGCTACATTTTATTTAATGTGAAGCACCATAAATTATTAACCCAACTTTTATACAGAAATAAATACAATGATTATTAATAAAAACCACATAAGGTCTAATTTAATCGACATCGATCTACATCAATTATAAAATATAGAAAATGGTGTAGATGTAAATTACAAATATGTCACCAACTTTCAACTACGAAGGACATGTATGTCATCTTAAAATAACAGAGTGATAAGAGGTGATTTGAACTAAAATAGAACATTATTGTGATTTCTAAAATAGAACAATCTGAGAATTGCTTGTAGAAATCATCCTCTCATAAGTCGTTTACCTTTTCTGAAGGTGCTTGTAGAATAAACTTGAAATAATATTGAACAATGCATCCAAAACCAACCTGCCAAATAGTTATCACAAAGACCAATTTTAAATAATTTCCAGAATATGAGTTCGTTGGATATCTTAAAAGGTTCCAACGATAAAAGTTTTAACTTACTCTAGTAGTGATAATGGATTTTTAACTTATTGAATCTTACGAAGATTACAAGAGATTGAGTATTCAGAGTGTCTAAATGTTACCTGAATAGAATCAGGTTAACGATTCATGATATGATGCATGCAAGGAACAACAAAATGTACTTAATTAAGTTGGGTGGGATAGGGAAAATCACCCACATGCACCCAACAAAGACGATAAATTATAAGTTCTACCAAAACCTATTGCTATAAGCAGAAATAGAACCCAACTCCAAGATCATTCACCTGACTAAGATAAATTATAAAAATAGCTAAGGAAGATGCAACATTAAACTATAAAAGTATATGCTCAAAATGATAGGATCTAACCTCAATATCTGATATAGAGCACAAAGTATCAAATAAAACAATCACTTTCCTGCTAATTACAAGAAGAAAAAATAGATGCCAAACTTTTTTTAAATGAGTATATATTATGAGCATGATCCTAAATGCTATGTGAATAGAAACTGGTGAACTATTCATGATGCATGCAAGGAACTATATGATGAAATTAATCAATTTGAATGAGAGGGCCCGGGGAAAATCACCTAAAAGCATCCAATATAGGTAACACATAATAAGTTCTATCATGAACTATTATTATAAGCAAGTTAAGAGCCTAACTCCAAGAGCATTCACACTAAGAGAAAATTATTGAAATAAGAAGATGCAACATAAAACTATACAAATATATTCTCAGAATGATAGGATCTATCCTTGAAAAAAAAAGAATGATGGGATCTAACCTTAATATCTCAGGATTTGGAGCACAAAGTATCAGATGACACCATCATCTCACTAAACTCTCTATAAAAAATTCTTGTAAAACAGAGAAAATCAATATAAGATTAGGAATTTAGGTACCTAAAATAAAAGAAAATGAAAGAGATGCATAAGATTCACTAATAATTTAGTGAATTTCAAACACGAGCTTCAGATTATTTGGAAACAGTATAGGCAAAAAAATTTCACATACTGGCTGGTTGATGGATCGCAACTAGTACTCGCATTAAGAAAGGTTATATCACTATGAGACATTAATGAAGACAAATATACTAAACAAAGTTGCAGCAATTAACATCAAATAGAAAAAAAAAAAAAAAAAAAAAAAAAAAAAAAAAAAAAAAAAAAAGAAGAAGAAATAAAAACTGAATTACAGTAATTGACAACAAATTGAACAGCTCAATAGTTAAAGCCAGCCCATCAAAACAACACCATGATCATCCTCACCACGTCCACACCTAATGCAATATCATACCAAACAAAAGCATAAGTAAGGGTACTTATCTTCAGAAGGTCGTACCAAAAGCACTCAAATCATGCTCCTGATAGCATGAAATAAAGTATGAAACAAACATCTTCACATAGACATTCTAGAAACAAAGAATCACAAGTAGCAATATACTTCAACCAGCAATATATTTCAAGTAGCAATAATATGAAGCTTAACTATCGGACACAAAAAAACAATTATAGATAATATTATTAAATAACAAAGAAGATTGTAGAACAAATTAATTGACCCGTATTCATTGAGAAGAGGTAATAAAACAAACCTTATAATTACCACCCAAGGAAAAAGATTATTGTTCTTAAAAGTTAAAACTAACTTACTTTAAAAAAAATATGAACCACTGTAGATATTAGAACATAAATTCCTTTTCAAACATATCATAAAACAAACAAAACCACAATTACAAAATAATAAGGGCATAAAAATTATCTTCCATTGTATCACGAAACCAACATAATTCAGAAAATAATTACAAGATTAAAAATATCAGGTACTATATAACAGCATATAAATAGCATCATAAGACCTTAAAACCTTCAACTAATAAGATAACTCCTTCCAAAAGAAAAACCAAAATTTTCAGATATATTGTCATTTGTAAAGCTCATATTGGTTAAATTCAAATTCTAGAATAAACACTATATTGAATAATGATGAAATCTATCAATGGTAATTTACCATTGATATTGGTAATTCACATAAACTTACGATCATTTAAAAATACTTCCTATGATTCTATTGATAATACATCAAAAAAAACCCACAAATATTCACATAATATAAAAAAGCAATCAATCAACAGTAGTAACAATTTCTAGGGTTCTAATACGACTATCGTACTTGTCGTAAAACCACAGTATAAACAACAATAGATCGAGAATTAAATTCAACCATTGTACTTTTTGTAAAATACAAACCCTAGAATTTCATCTTATTAGTTTTTCCAAATAATCGTTTAATTAAAAATAAAAAAAAATAAAAAAAAAATTGAATTAGGTGGAGGGAGTAGGACCTTAATAATTCTTCGCTGGTAATTTCTGTTTGCAATGGAGTAGCTTCGAGCCTTCGACAAAGGTTCAGAGAAGAGTGTGTGTTTGAGTATGGAAATGGGGTGTGCGCTTAAGGGTAGGAAGAAGAGGACATGAGTTGGTGTTAAATAATTGGGTGGTCTGGGCATGTAATTATTAACACCAAAAGTAGTACGGGTAACTACTACTAACTAGTAACCGGCCTTACTAATGTCCATTACGATTAATAAGGTCAACGAAGTTTGACCATTTATTTGTAAGCGATCTTTTTATGCCCGTTACTAATAATTGGTTAGCCTATCTTTGATCCGGTATTTGTAACTGACCTTAATTATGTCAGTTACTGTAGGGAATATTTCAAGAATTACCCAAAATTTGAACCTCATTGTGATTGTTTCGGGGTTTTCTGATGTCCTGCGGGAGAGTTACAATTCCGAGACTGGAACCGGACGCCTGTACCTGCAAAATAACGGAGACTCCTGGTGGTGGGAGCTCCGCCTCCAACGGTCAAGTTAGTACTTGATTAAGGAGTAATTAATGCGGAAATTAAAGTGATTGGGTCTCTCTAGGTGAGAGTGTTTAATGTAGGTAATCTGCTTTGTTAGCGAGATCAGCCGGTTATTACTGTGTGTAATTAATGTGTTTTTTCGTAATCCCCCTTAATGAGGATTAAGGGAGGTATTTATAACCTTGGGAAACGTGCCCATCCTAGGTTTAGGTTAACCTAGGGCCGATTGGGCTTCCCTCGGAAGTTGGGCCTGGGTGGCCGGTTTCTCCATTAGGCATGGAGTATGCCACATGTCATGAAATAATAGGTCCAAGGGGGACGAATAAGCGCGTGCCACGTGGCAAGCCCTGACAGTTCCAACTGGGGGACACTTGGCAGGACCTGACTGGCCCACGTGGCGCATTCCGATTGGAGGAGCAAAATCCCCTAATCATTTGCCCCTCACAGGTGGCACGTGACTGGTCACGTGTTACCTGTGACAGGTGTCGCACTGTAATAGGCGGCGAAAGGCCGAGAGATTTTCCCGCCCAAATTTTGAATTCTGAAAGTGACCCTTCGCCTTCTCACTTCGCCTATATAAGGGAGAGTTGTCTTGATTCATTTTGACACTTTGAGAACTTTTTGAGAACATTCGGACCCCTGAACTTGCTCTGACATTTCGGACCTTTTCTGCCTACCGCCTGTTCTGACAAGCCGACTGCACAGGATTTTCAGAACTTCATCAACCGTCACTCGTTCAGGTAACTGTCAGTTCTCTTACTCTTAATTTTCTTTTTATTTTTTGAAATGGCACCACGGAAGCACACGACACGACCTAGGTTAGTGATCAGCCGGTCACCGGGGACGGCTGAATCTAGGACTAGGAGTGCCGCCTGCCCTTTTCCGGACCCATCTTTGCCCTTTATACAAAGTCCGACTGTATCTGTGTCTATGCAGAGCAGGATGGCCAGAACGAAAAAGACTGCTAGGATCTCAAATTCAGACGGCTCCTCCCACAGGGTGCCGCTTAGTGAAACATCTGACCAGGCGCCAGATAGGGAAGTGAAACAAGGCGGCCTGAAAGCCGGCAATTCTGAGGGAGGAGTCATAGTGACCCCTTCCCATTTAACAGTTAACAAATCTGCTCCTTTTCAAAGAGAGGAGGTGGGCCCCTCCGGGAGAGGGGAGGAGTCGTCCTCTTCGGACTCGTCAGAGGACGATTCCGAGTCAAGCTCTTCTGGCCATGCTTCTTTGGACACAGAAGAAAAAACAGCCGCCTGCAAGAGGCGAGACTTTCTCACGCAGTTGAGAAGGGGGACAATTGGGCGGAGCCATCCGCCTCTCACCGAGAGCTAAATACCCCCTATTACTGCACGGTAACTCGGGGCCGGATCACAGCCATGCAAGAGAAAGTGGAGAGCTTTATTGCAAACCACACCATGGGCCCCGACTTTCTAGTGTTTGTGCCGGATCCAGAAGACACAGTCGTCTGGCCGGCTGGTTCCAGTTATGATAGCGCCTGCTTTGGCTGCTACGAGGCGGCCATCAAGGCAGGGCTGCGCTTCCCATTACATCCGGTTGTTCAGCGGATTTTGGATGGGTATGAGTTGGGGTTATGGCAGTTAGTCCCAAACTCCTGGGTAAACGTACTCGGCTATGTGGCCGGGTGCGAACTGCACGGGGTGGAGCCGAGCTTCGAGGCTTTCGCCCATATGAACTATCTCAGCCGGACCCCTAAGACAGGCGGTACCGGCTGGTATCAATTGACAAGCCACAGGGGCTACCTCATGACGAGAGGTAAAGCAAACAAGTGGAAGGACTGGCGGAGCACCTTCCTCATCATTGAGAGTTCAGACATTGAGCTGAAAAAGCGCTTCAATAGGTGGAACAGGAATCCGCCCCTTCTTGCAGGCGGCCGGAGCATGCCGCCTGTTCCCCCCAAGGCTAAGAAAGAGATCCTTGATAAAGGACTCTTTAAAGTAGAGTCGAGGGTCGACTCTACTTCAGGGGTACGAGAGCAAGTACCCCTGCACTGCGTCCCGAGCTTCAAATGGCTCTACGACGAGTACTTTTTGGCCGCCTGTGGCCTCAGCAGTCGGTGCTCAAGAGGTAGTCGACCTGTCGAATACTCTGTTGTTCCATACATTTCTTGTTATGACTTTTATTAACTTTGCTGTTTGTTTTTGCAGCTGACGCCATGAGCAAAATCACCGCCTCCAAGACTGCGGCGGCCATGTTGCGGGCCTCCATCATGCAACAAACTTCAACCGACTCCCCCAAGAAGGGGGCACCCTTGGTGAGCTCCGAACCTTTCACCCTCTTTTTGGAGTTGTGTTTATGCATATACTGACTTTTTTTCTTCTTTTTTAGACGGGTGCTCCAAGAGCTTCATCTTCCCATTAGCCGGACCCCAAGGCCCAGAAGACGACTGTTGGCAGCTCTCCTGGTTCTGCAAGGAAACATGTGGCGGCTGAGAAACAGCCGGCCACTTCTTCTAAAACTCCAACTGGGCCGCCTAGAAGTAAGAAGTTGTCCTTGTAAATTTTAGACTCGCTCCCTTTTTTACTAGGTCTAATCCGTTTGTTTATGCTTGATGCAGCCGGCCCTTAGGAGCCTGACTTGGTAGAGATGGCCAAGTCTATGATCAGGGCAGTTCCTCCAGCTGAAAGGGAGGCGGTCAGGGGTGTCGGCACCCTTGACCTAGACGGGATTGCAGGGGTCCTTGCTGAGGTATACTTAGCATATTTTTGAGTATTTAAATTTCTGGACGCCTGTTTTCTTTTTGTTTGGAAACTGACGCCTGTTCCTTTGTACTTAGGCCCTGCTCCGAGTGAACAGCCTTCGCAAGCCGCTTGACCGGAAGAACAAAGAGGTAAAGGCTGCAAAAGCTATGGCCGCCTCTGACTGTGACAAGGCAATGTTTCAAATTGCCCAAAATGAAGTTCTGACCATTGATATTCTTTATTATCAGGCGCAGGCTACCGCCGCTGTTCGGGCTCAGTTAGAGGCGGCCCAGAAGAAGAATGACGAGCTGGAGGCGACCATCACAAATCTCAAGGCCGAGCTGAAACCTCTTCGCCTAAAGATGTACTCATACGAAGCCTTGGAGAAATCCTTGGCCAGCGTAAAGGAACGCCTGGTGACCCAAGAGAAGAGTCTTACCCAGGAGCTCTCGGAAAAGGCCGAGCAAGAGAAGAAAGATCTGGTCCGGGAGATGATGGAAGACTCCGCTCAAATCCAGCGCATGACTTGGGGCCGCCTCTTCCCCAATGCCGACTTTGCCTCTTGGGAAAAAACGTACCGCCAGTGTTCTGATACATATAATCAAGAGATCCTGGCAGCTGCTGAGGAAGAGGCGATGGAGGAAGCGTTGGAGGAGGAGGAGCCGGTAGTGGCGCTTGTGCCGCTTGGGGGTAAGGCATCAAAAAAGGATGCAGCTGAAGCCGAGTCCAGCAAGAAGAGTGCTGACCAGGCGGCAGCTGCTAATATTGAAGATCTGCCCCCTTCTTAAGCTTTATGTATTCTTTCCACGGCCTGCGTGCCGATTGTTTTGTATTTACCCGGCCAGGGGGCCGGGGCTTTGAATATTTTGCTGGTCTTTAATGACCGGCTTATTTTTATTGAATTTTTGTTTTGCCTCAAATTTATCAAAGTATTCCATATTCTAATATCCAATTGTTCACTAGACCGACTGTTTTACATGGCCGATAGTTGCAGACAGGTACGGATAGTTAGTCACGCCGCCTATGCCCCTGGACGACTGGTTGTCTGTTTCCAGGATAGACGATCAGTCGGCCATTTATCCAATCGGTATTCGAACTATTTTGTCTGGATCCTTTTTAGGCAGGCGGTCCTGTCATTTGTAAATTTAACCAAGTAGGAAAGTGGTCTGACCAAGTAAACATGAGTGTTACCTAGTCGCCAAGGAACTGAGTAGTAGAGATAACAAGCGGCGGGTACCGGTTGTTTCCCTTTATTCGCCAATGTTTGTTGGCTTTTAACTCATAATTTGTTAACCTAGCAGGAGTAGTGGTTGAGAGCCCCTGTTTGCTAAAAACAGGCGGACGACTCATACCTTTTAGGCTCCATACTAAGTTTGAGGGAGTGACTATAAGTTAACATAGGAGTTACTTAGTCTCCGTCACACTCTAGATTGAGTAGTAGAGGTACCAGGCGGCGGAGGCCGACTGATCCCCTTGATTCGCCAATGTTTGTTGGCTATTAACTCAATAGGTTACCTAGTAGGAATAGGGGTTTGAGTGCCCCTGTTTGCCAAAAAACAGGCGGTCTACTCAAACCTTTTAGGTTCCATACCAAATTTGAGGGAGTGACTATGAGTTAACGTTGGAGTTACTCAGTCGCCGTCACTCTTGCTTGAGAAGTAGAGGTACCAGGCGGCGGATGCCGGCTAGACCCTTGATTCGCCAATGTTTGTTGGCTATTAACTCAAGAGGTACCCCCTGCATTTGTCCCAAGTAATACAGGCGGTCATCTGACTCAGATGTCAACTGCTACCACTGGTTTGGCTAGTGATAGAGTTATCTTTTCTCAAAAACGGCTACGTGGTTGCCCTTGGGGACAGTCGTATAGGTGCCGTGTAATTAGTTTATAGAGCAATGTTCCACCCAAAAGGGAGCTGCTCTCTGCGACGAATTTCATCCGGAGGGATGC